AGGTGGGGCCAGGTGGGGCCAGGTGGGGCCAGGTGGGGCCAGGTGGGACCAGGTGGGGCCAGGTGGGGCCAGGTGGGTGTCAGGCTGCCATGGTTCATTTTGGGCCACAGACACTTCCCAAGCTTTTCCCTGGGAATCTCAACAGACAGGGGTCAGATCTATTGGCTGAGAGCAGCCTGTTTCTTCATTGGCTGGACTTGGCTCTTGGAGGGCACGATGGCACTGACGACATCGCAGCGCAACCAGCCCCTCATGTCCAGGGAGGATATTCTGACTGGAGGGGACAGGTAGATAGGGTCAGGAAGTTTCTAGGTCCACTAGTGGTGCGAACTTGCAACTAGTGCCCTCCGGTGGTTACTTTTGGTTCATGGAGGGAAAAGGATGTTTTGGTAAATTGATGGCATCTCCTTGGGATTTACATTTATGGTTAGAGTCACTTATGCCCTTATATGAAATACAGAATCATTAGGCTGCCATTGCGACAGTGTGAATCCCCTTTACAGTTTGTGTGTGTGTGATATGGAAGGGGGGGGGAAGGCCACAGTACTTATTGGGGCCATGTAGGAAGCTCATGGAGAAACTAGGAGGTCTATGTCCCATGGAGGCTGTAAGAAGAAGCCAGGTGAGGTCATCCAGGAATGGGAGATGGTTTACTCTGAGGTCCCCCCCAATTTTCCTGCTGAACCAGCACCCTTGAGTCATTCCTTAGAGAAAATCTATGGACTTTTGATTCCTCCATGTAAGAAGGCCCGCTCAGCTCAAGGCATCCCTCGTTGGCCACTGTCTTGGAGCACTGGGGAAGGAGAGACTGCACTCTCCATTGCAGCCTAGGTGCGAGCCAGAGCCCTGTTAGCAAACAGCCTCAACGCCTCTCCGGTGTAGTGATTCCTGTCCAGCTGTTGCCTGTGAAATATGTCACTGTTATTATTATTATTCAAACAACTCTCTACCGCATTGCCTCCCAGCTACCCGTAGAAACAAAGGCTGCTTCCTATTTTCTCATTTCCCTGGTGAGAAGATAGAGTCTCAAGGTCTCAGCTCCCAAGGGATCAGAGCGCACCCTCTATTACTATCCCGTCTTCACAGTACAGAGCACCAGGGCACTCCCTGTTTACTCCACCCAAGGCCGTCACCAAACACAGAGTCCCACATGAGGGGAAGGAGTGTTTCTTAGCAAAAGAACAGTGATTTGGGTGAAGGGTAGTGTTGCGCATCTCGTTCTACTGACTCCCTGAGAGGTACTGTCCACTCCTTTGACGACAGTTGTCATCTTGTGAACAGTGGGACCTGGGAAATGAGAGTCCACCTGGCTGTCACAAGTGCACGCACTCAGAAAGCCTGGGTGCCTTAGATCAGCACGGCCCACCATGTTCTCTTGGCTCTCCGGGTGGCCTCTTTGCCTGCAGATGCTGAACTGACATGTGGTGCTAGCAGAGTGAACCCCAGACTAAAGCAATGGTGCTGCTTTGTGGCGAAGTTGGCTCCTGAGACGTGGGAGTGACTCTTGGCTCCTAGCGCAGGTGCTCTAATGGAGGGAGATACGCTGGGGCCCCCAGAAGGCCCCTGGAGGTCCTCACGAAGGTGCTAGGAGATCGCCTGTCCTCACCTTTCTATCCACACTTGCTGCAGGAAGGTGGTGGTTAGTGCTTTATCGTAAGTAATGCTTGCCTTCTCTGTTGTGACATTTCTTTTAATAGTGTGGGTCACCAGGACCAGCATGTTCCTGAGTACTGTATATGACACTTGGCACTTTTGATATTTTACCGGATCTTAGAGAATTGTTTTCTCTGGGATGTGAGACAGTTTTTAAAGACCATTACTGTTGCTCAGCCCCTAACTGCCAGTCTTCACTCTAGATTCAAGTGAGACAGAGAGAGAGGGATCCTAACCCACCCCAGACAACCTGCTCAACAAAGGTCCCTACACTGCCTTAATTCTCAGAGGGAGTTCCTCCCCAGTAGAGGTAACATCAAGACTGACATGTTCTGACCAAAGAAATCGTTTCTACCCCACTAAGCTCACTTCATATGTTTGTTCATTTCTTTTGAAAACTGGAGAGGGGAAGTGATCAAACTGGGTGTCTGGTATGGCAGAAGCAGCACAGCATTGACGAGTGGTGCTCATTAGGACTGATAAGCAGTGGGAACACAGTCCATTAGCTGTGGCTTGACAGGGGAGCTTTACATCTTTGGGTTGCAGGGAGTTGGGCCTGTAAAAATCAAGGGTTTGATGAAGACACACTCAATTGAAAACATGAACAAAAGCAAAGCACAAGGTCATCCTTTGTGCTAAAGTTACAATGAAGGAAGCATGTCACATACGGCAAGAAGCTTCCCAAAGTGACCCCGTGACTGGCCATCTATTTGGCTTAGAAATAGAGACTTCTGGCCTGCAGAGCTTTGATATTTTCTTATGTCCAGTAGGTCCTCTTTGTCAGAATTTTTTTTTCAATTGATGCCAGAAAGACTTGGTATTTGAGAAGAAGTCCAGGCCTCTCCAGTTGCCATTTGAGTGGCATTGAGAAGACAGAGGGTGTTGCTCTGCCCTGTGTTGGCAAGTCTGGGGACCCACAGCTCTGCCCACAAGCAGTCCTCTTGGCCCTGGTTGGTGACTGTGAACTTGTGGGGTGCCTTTCCTCGCTCCACTGTCTCTACTTCTGTGTAAATAGGATCGTTTTAACCGCATCTTCTCTGTGTCTATGACTGTTCTCATATCACGAGAATCTCTGCGTCTACTTTGGATTTATTTTGAAGTTTTTCTCTTCATGGAAAAAAAATGTACAGTATAATAAAAGATATTTCCTGTGCCGTGTATTTGGTTGTGGTGTTTTTTCATGAATGTAAAAGCTTTGAGTTTTATAAATGAAGTGACTTCATTCCCGATGGGACACTAACTGGTAAAGAAGAGATTTTGGACACCATAGTCCACTTTCCATACAAATGGCTGCTTCGAGAACCCATGGAAGAGAAAGAAGACAGAGGAGGTTGAGTGTGTGATTTAACTCAAATACTGGCAATTTCCTCCTCTCCCCTCCCTTTTCCTCTTTCCTTCACTCTCTAATTCCTTCTTCCTCTTCTGTCTTTTCTCCCTTCCTTTGCCCTCCTGTCTCTGCTCTCCTCTCCCATTCCCTGCTCTTTTCTCCTCATCCTTTCCTCCTCTCCCCTCTTCCCCTTTTTGTTCTTTTTCTTCTGTTCTGCACGTTGTTCTTCTCTGGTACTTGGAATCAAACCCAGGTCCTCCAGCATACTGAGCTCATGCTCCCCTGCTGAGCCACACACCAGTCCTAACATACATTTTTGTTTAAATACGAAGTGGATGCCTTAAGACATGTCTGACATCTAATTTTGTTTTGTTTGTCATTCCTAGGCCTGGGTTTCAAAGGAATCAGAACCTCTGCTGAATTGAACTAGATGCACAATTTAGTGCAGATGTGGATTTTCTGGGCAGAAGGCACTATTTACACTCAGGCCCTTGGAGCTCATGGTTGGCCTTGTTTGGGGGAGGTTGTGAGTTCCATATAGGAACTCTTTTATTGGAAATATATTTTTTTACATAATATATCCTGATTAGTTTTCCCTTCCTGTATTCTTCAAAGTTCCTCCCTACATCCCCTCCCATCTGGATCCACCCCCTTTCTGTCTCTATGGGGTAATAATAAAATAAAATATGAAAAGATAGAACAAAAACTAACACTTTGGAAAAGTCAAAAACCATCAAACAGGAGGAAAAAGATCAAGAGAAAAACAAGAAACAGATACAAAAGCAGAGACCCACTCATCCTCACCTTCGTGAATCCCACACCACACACACACCACCACCACCACCACCACCACTACCACCACACACTAAATAAATATTTTAAGTCCAAAATCTTTGCTGAGACTCAAAAGCAACTGCTAACTAAAGAAGAAGAATATTACATAGTTCCAGTGTAAAACAGTGGGACAGGGAGAATATTTCCATCCTCAAAAGACAGAATGAGGCTCATAAATCAAGGCCAAAATGCAGTAGGGAAACATTGAATCCTCTGTCCAGTACCCTGCACATGTTTCCAAGATGTGTGTTTTGAGACC